AGATGTACTTCGTTCATGTATTATAATGATTGGGTATGTTTAGGATGGCTAAAAGTCCAACTGAAATGAAATAAGATTGAATTAGAGCAAATCTTTCCAAAGAAATATAGGTAACCAAATAATGTGTTAAACCTTTATTATTAGCAATTGGGAATGCTTATAAAGCAATCCATTGAGCCATGTCAGAAGGACGAAGGAGGCCGAACCAAGTCATATAATGTAAAACTATCATAAATTGTAGCATTGATGTACTTACCAGATGTACTTCGTTCATGTATTATAATGATTGGGTATGTTTAGGACGGCTAAAAGTCCAACTGAAATGAAGTAAGATTAAATTAGAGCAAATCTTTCCAAAGAAATATAGGTGACCAAATAATGTGTTAAACCTTTATTATTAGCAAGTGGGAATGCTTATAAAGCAATCCATTGAGCCATGTCAAAAGGACGAGTGCCAAATTGACTTATAAAGTAATCTATTGAGCCATGTCAGTTTTAAGAAACAGACTATTGATTAAGGGGAATAACTCTTCTAAATATCACGCTTCAAGTTACCCAAAAAATCGTCGGTTTGTAACGGTTCGTTTTTTGTCAACGGAATTTTTACACATCATACTCTATTACGTACTGTTTAATTTGGTAGGTAGACTTTTAGTGACAATTTGTATTTTCAATGTCAATTTGACATTTTATATGTCGCATGGACGGGGTCCGTCTTGCATGGTTCCAATAAAATGTATCAAAACACAATTTAGCGGAATAAACTTACACTAAAACACTAACCAAAAGGAAGAAAATGTGTAGTAAATTTCATTCTATAGTTTGGAAATGATTGACATTTCCTGAAAATGGACATTTTGATACGGTAATATACCAACCTCATTATGAACGGCCCGCTAGTGAAACTAAACATCATGGAGGAAAACGACAGAATCGGAAGTCATACAGTTATCCCCCTTAGTACGACATCTGGCGGTAAGTGATATAGCTACGCACTGTCGACTGCATTTTCCAAAATCTACTGCCACAATCGGGTCTGTTTCCGGTTTAAGGGAGCGAGCATTATTTTCCGCGAATTTCGTTGACGATTTAAGCGCCGGCTGTTGTCTTAATGAGAACTAAAATTCTAGAATGAATTCTAGAATTTTAGTTCCTCATTAAGACGACAAGCGGCGCCCCATCATAAACGATGTCGAAATCGCGATCGGTAAAACTAGCATAGCATGGAATGAACACGCAATAGATTTGTAAACGAGTGAAACAACACAAATGTACATAGCATGGAAAATAGACACTTATCAACTAGAGAAATAATACAAATGTACAAAGAATTAGATTCCAAACCAGAAGTAACTAATTCTATAACTTATCAACTAGGGAAATAATACAAATGGACATAGAACTAGATTCAAAACCAGAAGTAACTAATTCTATAAAAAAATAATTATGGCGGTGATCCCCTTCCATACACAACATGTCAAAATTATTTTTCAAAAATTTAAACAGACACCTTACGAACATGTTTACCTACATGACGACATCATCATACACATATAATTCTGGAAACTTACCTGAAAATAATAACAGGAGGCAGCTCGGTTATATGCACCGTGTATTCCGGAAAGATTCTCTTGGCATGCGCACTTACCTTCACGTGGTATAATCCTGATTCATGAGTTATCTCGCTTGAACCAGGCCAACTGCCCAGTAACATTACCCCATATACTAACAGATTGACCATAACAATGGGTACCCTGAATATTCCAAAACTACACGTAACACATATAATATGATGTTGAAACTAAATAATATAACGATAAAGTTCAATCATATATTGATGAAATCGAATAATATAACTAGACAACCAAATCGTATAACGATAACATCAAATCATATAATGACAAAATCAAATAATATACATATATGTAATGATGAAAGCTTACAATACAATGGAAACCTAATCATATAATGATAAATAAAAATCATATATTGCTGATATCAAATAATATATTGATGAAATTATTTAATATAATGGTAAAGTCATATAATATAATGGTAAAGTCATATCATATAATGTTTAAATCAGATCATATATTGGTGAAACCAAATCATATATTGGTGAAACCAAATCATATATTGGTGAAACCAAATCATATAATGACGATATCAAATAATATAATGATCAAATCGAATAATATAATGATGACATCATATAATATAATGAATAAATCAAATCACATAATGATGAAATCAAATAACATTATGATAAAATCGAATAATATAATGATAAAATAAAATCATATATTGATGCAATCATATAAGGTAATGAAAATATCAATTCATATAGTATTTTTATGCCATATGTGACAACTATGGGGTTCCATATTACAATGACTTGAACATTTTATTAATGATCTTGATATTGAATAACCGGTTTGGACATTGAAAATATGATGATTTGCAGACATTAGATTAATTTATGTGTGAACACTGCCATATCAACAAAATTAAGACCTGTCCTCCCAAAGTTGAGGTGCAATGTAGCTTTCGTATAATGTATAATACACTTCTATGAACTCTAGTCTGCTTTATCGATCACAAAACGATGGTAAAAAATCGATGATGAAAAATAAAAAAAAAAAAAAAAAAAATACAAACAATCTAGCAAGGGAACGGACTTTTTTACACACACCTAGTGAATCATCTCATTCATTCAATAGTTGCTACCGTGTATATAGATCTTAACTCTCTTCCTACCTAGAAAACAGATCTTTTCCCCATCAGGCCCACAGGTGTAGTGTCCAGTCGTATTATCCGAGGGTGAACAGTAGATGTCACACTGCGCACCAAAGTAATGCTGAGGACACGTCGCCACCAACGTCACGTTAATACTAAAATAAAATAAAATACTTGTAGTCAGCTTCTGATGGTTGTCAAATTCCAAGTAGATTGGGTTCCAAATTAATTGAAAACACGAAATACATATATTTAGTATCTACTGTACCTGCAGGAACTACACTGTTGGTAAGGCTGGCATTGTATCGGGAGGTTAAATGGGCTGACAAGCTTGTCTGTACTGACATTGGAGCAGTAATGTGTAAGGTCGTCCTCGCCGGTCAAAGTGTTTTTGTTGTTGTACTTCTGCTTCACAGCTAGGCGTAATGTCTGTGGAAACATATTATCATACGATTTACTCTCTAGAGCGACATCTACACAACAACTCATCATATGACATAATGTCTGGGACAACATCTACACAGAAAACCATCATTAGATTTATTGTTTCTTGCAACATGTACACAAACATTATCATCTGGTTTGCTGTCTTGGTAAACGTAGGTACCTTTCTATATTCCTGTCTCGGAAGAGAGAAATTCATCTGTCTAAATTGGTATTGAATTAGCAGAGAGGAAGACGTAGTGGTATTTTCGCTGGGTGTACTTTTGTTGAATTTCTTGAAATCACCATCGTTCACGTACTGGTATTCCTCTTCACAAACCCTAAGATATAATACATAAAGCGCATTGGTTGATAACCATATATGTTTGCAAGATGTATTATTTTTTAACAAACTAGTACGCTCGTCCAAAAGTCTTCACTGCATTTCAAATGTAAATAACCGAGCATGTTACATGTACATGTACAATAATGATAATAAAATAATAATAAACATTTGATAAAGCGGCCGATCTAGCTAGCATAAGCCACACTAAAGCGCTTTACAGTACATAGATAGAAACTTAATACAATTAGCATATACATTAATCAGTACAATTTTGAGGAATTCGCAGGAGCTGCCTTATCAGGCGCTAACTACTATTACTATGCCACCTGGCTAATATCTCCCTATAAGTGTATGCTTGCGTGTGTGCTGGAGATGTAATGTATTATATTTGTTGTAGGACCGTGCTTCCAACGGCATCATTTATAGTGCCACCCCACTTGAATGCTACAGCACAGAGACTACAACATCATCCTCAGATCAATTTATACTCCATTTGGGTTGTTGGAGTTGGGTGGGCAGGAGAAGAGCACTTCTCAGAATATTCCATGCGTACGACGACTTCGGGGATCGAACCCCGGCCGCCTGTGTGAAAGGCCGGAGTGTTCACCAATCGACCAAGCCACCCATAATGATCCGCTTTATGCAAGACATCTTTATGATGTATCTAACTGAAGCGACTTTTCTAATAAAAATGTCAATGTTGTTATATAGAAGTTGTAAGGTACATTTAAGAAATAGCATGTATCACTTGCCCTCCGTCCACTAGGATCAGAAAGATTGGTGACCTGCACATGAAATTGTCTCCGCTATATTTGTAGGTATTCAGCTGAAATTTGACAGTAACACTATCCGAGACGCTCTCATTTCTCATCACCTGCAATCACAAACAACATCAGCCTATAGCATGTGATACAGTTATACGGTGATATCAATGTAACAATTCATTTGAACAATGATGAGTTGTATAGGATAATTTCATATGCAGAAAAACAGTAAACAATGGTAACGTGCAGTGGCAACGTGTAATACAGATAAACAGTGGAGCGTGTAATACAGGTAAACAGTAGCAACGTGTAATACATGTAAACATTGGTAATGTGTAATACAGATAAACAGTGTAGCGTGTAATACAGATAAACAGTGGTAACGTGTAATACAGGCAAACAGTGCCACAAACAGTGGTAACAGGTAGCACAGATACAAACTGGTAGGGTGTGATAAATAAAAACAGTAATAACGTGTAATACAGATAAACAGTGTTCAATGTGTAATACAGATAAACAGTGTTAAATGGGTAATACAGATAAACAGTGGTAAATGGGTAATATAGATAAACAGTGGTAAATGTGTAATACAGATAAACAGCGGTAAAGGGCAATACAGATAAACCGTGGTAAATGGGTAATATAGATAAACAGTGGTAAAGGATATTACAGATAGAGAGTGGTCAATGGATAATACAGATAGACAGTGGTAAATGGGTAATACAGATAAACAGCGGTAAAGGGCAATACAGATAAACCGTGGTAAATGGGTAATAAAGATAAACAGTGGTAAATGTGTAATACAGATAAACAGCGGTAAAAGGCAATACAGATAAAACGTGGTAAATGGGTAATACAGATAAACAGTGGTAAATGGGTAATATAGATAAACAGTGGTAAATGTGTGATACAGATAAACAGCGGTAAAGGGCAATACAGATAAACCGTGGTAAATGGGTAATATAGATAAACAGTGGTAAATGTGTGATACAGATAAACAGCGGTAAAGGGCAATACAGATAAACCGTGGTAAATGGGTAATAAAGATAAACAGTGGTAAATGTGTAATACAGATAGACAGTGGTAAATGGGTAATATAGATAAACAGTGGTAAATGTGTAATACAGATAGACAGTGGTAAATGGGTAATACAGATAAACATTGGTAAAGGGTAATACAGATAAACAGTGATAAATGGGTAATACAGATAGACAGTGGTAAATGTGTAACAAAGATAAACAGTGGTAAAGGGAAATGCAGATAAACAGTGGTAAATGGGTAATATAGATAAACAGTGGTAAATGTATAATACAGATAAACAGCGGTAAGGGCAATACAGATAAACAGTAGTAAATGTGTAATATAGATAAACAGTGGTAAAGGGTAATACAGATAGACAGTGGTAACTTGTTATACAGATAAACAGTTGTAACATGCAATACCTGCACAGATATACCATGTAAACGTTTAATACAAGCAAACAGTTGTTACGTGTTATACAGATAAACCATAGCAACGTGTAATACAGATAAACAGTGGTAACGTGTAATACAGATAAACATTGGTAACGTGGCATACAGATAAACAGTGGTAAAGGATAATACAGATAGACAGTGGTAAATGGATAATACAGATAGACAGTGGTAAATGGGTAATACAGATAAACAGCGGTAAAGGGCAATACAGATAAACAGTGGTAAATGTGTTATACAGATAGACAGTGGTAAATGTGTAATACAGATAAACAGTGGTAAAAGGTAATACAGATAAACAGTGATAAATGGGAAATACAGATAGACAGTGGTAAATGTGTAATACAGATAAACAGTGGTAAAGGGTAATACAGATAAACAGTGTTAAATGTGAAATACAGATAGACAGTGGGAAATGTGTAATACAGATAGACATTGGTAAATGTGTAATACAGATAAACAGCGGTAAGGGCAATACAGATAAACAGTGGTAAATGTGTAATATAGATAAACAGTGGTAAATGGGTAATAAAGATAGACAGTGGTAACTTGTTATACAGATAAACAGTTGTAACATGCAATACCTGCACAGATATACCATGTAAACGTTTAATACAAGTAAACCGTTGTTACGTGTTATACAGATAAACCATAGCAACGTGTAATACAGATAAACATTGGTAACGTGTAATACAGATAAACATTGGTAACGTGGTATACAGATAAACAGTGGTAAAGGATAATACAGATAGACAGTGGTAAATGGATAATACAGATAGACAGTGGTAAATGGGTAATACAGATAAACAGCGGTAAAGGGCAATACAGATAAACAGTGGTAAATGTGTTATACAGATAGACAGTGGTAAATGTGTAATACAGATAAACAGTGGTAAATGTGTAATACAGATAGACAGTGGTAAATGGGTAATATAGATATACAGCGGTAAAGGGTAATACAGATAAACAGTGGTAAATGAATAATACAGATAGACAGTGGTAAATGTCTAATACAAATAAACAGCGGTAAAAGGCAATACAGATAAAGCGTGGTAAATGGGTGATACAGATAAACAGTGGTAAATGTGTAATACAGATAGACAGTGGTAAATGTGTAATACAGATAAACAGTTGTAACATGCAATACCTGCACAGATATACCATGTAAACGTTTAATACAAGTAAACCGTTGTTACGTGTTATACAGATAAACAGTGGTAAATGGGAAATATAGATAAACAGTGGTAAATGAGTAATACAGATAGACCGTGGTAAATGTGTAATAAAGATAAACAGCGGAAAGGGCAATACAGATAAGCAGTGGTAAATGCGTAATATAGATAAACAGTACAGATAGACAGTGGTAACTTGTTATACAGATAAACAGTGGTAAAGGAGTAATACAGATAGACCGTGGTAAATGTGTAATACAGATAAACAGCGGTAAGGGCAATACAGATAAGCAGTGGTAAATGTGTAATATAGATAAACAGTGGTAAAGGGTAATACAGATAGACAGTGGTAACTTGTTATACAGATAAACAGTTGTAACATGCAATACCTGCACAGATATACCATGTAAACGTTTAATACAAGCAAACAGTTGTTACGTGTTATACAGATAAACCATAGCAACGTGTAATACAGATAAACAGTGGTATCGTGTAATACAGGAAAACCGTGTCACAAACAGTGGTAACAGGTAGTACAGATACAAACGGGTAAGGTGTGATAAATATAAACAGTAATAACGTGTAATACAGATAAACAGTGTTAAATAGGCAATACAGATAGAGAGTGGTAAAACGGTAATACAGATAAACAGTGGTAAATAGGTAATATAGATAAACAGTGGTAAATGTGTAATACAGATAAACATTGGTAAAGGGCAATATAGATAAACAATGGTAAAGGGTAATACAGATAAACAGTGGTAAAGGGTAATACAGATTAACAGTGGTAAATGGGTAATACAGATAAACAGTGGTAAATGGGTAATACAGATAGACAGTGGTAAATGTGTAATACAGGTAAACAGTGGTAAATTAGTAATACAGATAAACAGTGGTAAATGGGTAATACAGATAAACAGTGGTAAAGGGTAATACAGATAAATAGTGTAGCACAGAATACAGATAAACATAATAACGTGTAATACAGATAAACCATGGTAACGTGTTATACAGGTAAATAGTGTAATGTGAAATACAGATAAAAAGTGGTAACGGGTAATACAGATAAACAGTGGTAAAGTGTACATGTAATACATGTAAACAGTGGTACCGTATAATACAGAAAAAAACAGTGGGAGCGTGTAATACAGATAAACAAAGGCAACGTGTCTTACATATAAATAGTGTAACTTGCAATACAGATCAACAAATTAAAAAGGTTATGAAAGTAAACAGTGTTACGTGTAATACAGGAAAATAGTGTAACGTGTTAAACTGGTAAACAATGGTAACGTGTAATTCTGATAAACAAATGTAATAGATAATGCATGATAATGTGTATTCTGGTAAACAGTTGTGACATGTAACACATATAAATAACTGTAACAGGTATTGCAAATAAACAGTGTAACGTGTCATATAGATAAACAAGTGTAACAGGTTATGCATGTAAAAAGTGACACGTATACAGATGTAATAAAGATAACCAGTTGTAACGTGTAATGAAGGTAAACAATGACAACGTGTAATACAGGTAAATAACTGTTACTTGTTATACAGCTTAACAGGGGTAGCGTGTAAGACAAATAACAATGTAACGATTAATGCAAGTAAACAGTGAAACGGGCAATACAAATAAACCATGGTAACGTGTAGTACTATAAAACCATGGTAACGTGTAGTACAGATAAACAGTGGTAACGTGTAATACAGGTAAAACGTGTAACTTGTAATATAGGCAAACAGTTGTTACGTACAGTACATGTGAACAGTGGTAACATTTAATACAGATAAACAGTTGTAACGTGTAATACAGGTAAACAGTGGTAATTTGTAATACAGGTAAACAGTTGTAACTTGTAATAAAATAATCAATGATAACGTGTTATATAGGCAAATAATTGTTAATACAGATAAACCATGGTAACGTGTAATACAGGTTAACTATGGTAAAGAGAGTTACAGGTAAACCATTGTAACGTGTAATACAGGTAAACAATGGTAACGAGAAATACAGGTAAACTATGGTAACGTGTAAAACAGGTAAACAGTGGTAATGTGTAATACAGGTAAACAGCGTAACATGTAATACAGATAAACCATGGTAACGTGTACATGTAATACAGTGAAACCATGGAAACGTGTAATACAGTTAAACCATGGTCACGTGTAATACAGGTAAACTATGGTAACGTGTAATACAGATAAACAGTTGTAACATGCAAAACATGGCCAGATAAACCATGGTAACGTTTAATACAGGCAAACAGTTGTTACGTGTTATACAGATAAACCATTGTAACGTGTTATACAGGTAAACAATTGTAACGTGTTATATAGGTAAACAATTGTAACGTGTAATACAGGCAAAACAATTGTAACGTGTAATACAGGTAAACAGTTCTTACAAGTAGTACTGATAAACAGGTGTAACGTGTAAAACAGGTAAACAGCGATATTGTATAATACAGAAAAACATTGGTAACTTGTTATTCAGATAAACAGTTGTACCATGAAGCTGGGAGACGAAACTGTGCTTCAAACGGGTAACATTTCCTTTGTCACCTGTGGCGTTCTCTTGAAAGGAATTGGAAACTAAACCTACATTTATAATGAATATGACGTAATCACACTAACCTTTGGTGGGGATGTCACAGTCGGACTATGAGTTGTTACGTGTTGCTGACAGTCAATTCCACCAAATCCATCATTACATAGACAAGTGTATTTCCCTATACCATCGCGGCACGTTCCTCCATTTCGGCAAGTAGCATTTGCGCAATTATCAATGTTATGTTCACAGTGTAATCCATTAAATCCATTTACACAGGAACAAGTGTAATTTCCGATACCATCGCGGCACGATCCACCATTTTGGCAAATAACTTTTGCGCAATCATCAATATTATGTTCACAGTGTAATCCATGAAATCCATTTACACAGGAACAAGTGTACTGTCCGATACCATCGCGGCACGTTCCACCATGTTTGCAAGTAGCATTTACGCAGTCATCAATATTATCTTCACAAAACTCGCCAGTGTAACCAGTATAACAGCTACATGAAAAGTTTGCCACAAGGTCGATACATGTTCCGTTGTGGCAGGTCACGTTGACACAGTCCGGAGTATTGACAGTGCAGTTTACACCCTCGTAGCCTGCATAATGAAAATACTTTCACGTTGTAGCTTTTCTGAGAAATGCTACACTGCAGTGAGTTATATCGAGTATGACGGGTTGTTAGTTACATCAGTGTAATAGGTAATCAGTATAAAGATACAGTTTGTTCTAACTAGTGAAACTATTTAGTTAGTTCTTACCAGATTCTCATTCTACCTAGTTCTAAATCTATTTTATTTATCTGTATGTACATTTACAAAGCAAACAAGAGTTCATATCGGTTAAAAGTAGTAAAGCGTTGCAGGTTGGTCTTCACTTTGGAAGCACCGGTTTGGATTTGGAGGATAGAGTTATCTGGATATATAAAAAACAACAACAAGTGAAACAATATCTCCAAAGCGTTATAATTATCTAAAAAAAATACAAATGAGTGCTTTTAAATTCTAGAACTGTTTTTCTTTTTATTGTAAATTCTATATTTTTGATAAAATTACCAATTACGTTCAAGTATTATGTAAATCCACTTCTTCTTCCAGTTCTTTAACTTCCAAACAGAAGTTTCAAAAGCCCCGCGTAAACTGCAAAATACATCGTTTCCAATCAAAGACATGCAGCCGTTCGACGCACGCACACATCACAGTTCCACTAAAACCAACATTGGATTAAGACGGTTATGAACCTAAAAGTGCCAGAGGAGACATGGAGGAAGATGGCGACTCCCATTGCAAGTGGTAGGCAGTTTTATCTTAAAAGTAAAATTGGGATTACAACAACAAGAAACTATTTTATATCCTTATATCAAAAACAATACTTCTAAAAATATGCATTTGTTTACCTATTAGATTATCAAATTCCACAGGTCCATGTGCTAATTAAAGACGGTTGAAAACAAGTTACAGTTTTTCAAAAAAATAAACCGAAATATCATAAAGAAGATCTAAAAAATATAGAGGACTCTATTTTACGAACTGTCTTATAAACCGGGGGCCAAGAGGGCACGAGGACAGGTGTCAGTAGTAGGAATCGTCTTGGACCAAGAGGTACTGAATGCCCTAATAGATCTTTTAAACACCGATCTCTCCACGGCTGCCGACGCAGAGGGACGCTGAACAGTCAGCACAGTACAAATCTGCTGAAATGAGACCGGACCGCAACCCAGGTAAAATCCAAGAGGGAAATCTGAGTTATACCCAAAATCCTAAAGAAATGGGAAGATGGAACAGGCTGAAAAAAGATTGATCGAAATACTGCTTAGTAGAACATCCTGGTAAGGAGGAAAACGTGACCATTGGTTCTACAAACAAAGATAGGATCGGAGAACAATACGTTGCATTATGTGTTATTTTGAATTGGAAAAAGAGGGAGTTGGTATGCGCGCGCATCCGATGGTCGTATGTCCGGTTTTGACATTAAGTTGTTTCGTATTAGCGCGGGTCATTTGACGCTTTTGTTTATGAATTAAAGAACTGACAGTAAAAGTGCATACTAATCGGGGTACATTTACTTGCTTGATGTCTAATCAACTGTTTAAACCACGTTACAATGACTTAAACATTTCATTAATGATCTTGATATTGAATAACCGGTTTTGATATTGAAAATATGATGGTTTGCAGACATTAGATTAATTGATGTGTTCAAACTGTCATATCAACAAAGTCAAGACCTGTCCTCCCAAATATAAGGTGGGATTTATCTTTCTTATAATGTATATTCTAACACGATTTGTTTGCAACGCGTGTTTTGATTGGATACGGACCATGATCTAATCTGCGATAGAATCATGATCAATCGTGTCAAGCTCCTCCAATCGCAACTAAGCCACGCCCCATTTCTAACCAAAACAATATGGCGTCAAGCTTGCCTCATAGCGAAATCCCGCTGATAAGGCTAGCAGGCAACAGAACAGAAACAACCGATGAAATGTATTTGATGAATGAATTAAAAAGTTAAAATACACATTCCTTGTTCTTACCTCCATTTATTAATGAAACGTTCGTTCCATCCGTGTGAAGGCATCTATTTAGATCCGAAATCAAATGAAACATTTCACATGTGTCGTATGCATCTACACAAAACTCTTCACAATCTATACAAATAATCACTGATTTTGTCGATAAGCACAGATTGGTATGCATACTGACATGGAAATATAAGAACTTGGTCAATATTAATCCAAATGTGTCGTATAAACTTTGGTAACAGGACGTTCACGAAGAATCCAAATATTCCGCCTCGTCAACATACAGATCGAGCGCTCGCCAGTATGGGCGGGGCCAAATGACCAACTTTTGAAAGCTTCTTTCCGATTGGTCAGTCCGCTGCAGAATGACACCTCGCCAGTTCAGGTCACGCAGTGTTTTACTACGTTCTTTTGTACAAGAAAATACAATGTTTCTAAACAAATTAGTTTAGTATATTTGCTAAGGTGTGTTAGAATGGGGATAGAACGTTGTTTTTCGTGTCTATACTGGCGATTAGAACATCAAATTTGGTTTAAACTCTCGACCTATCGGTCTCGAGTTCAAACCCAAATTTCAAGTTCTAATCGCCAGTATAGCCACTCAAAACAACGTACTATGATATCCCCTAAATACACTTCTATGAACTCTAGTCTGCTTTATCGATCACAAAACGATGGTAAATAATCGATGACGAAAGGTAAAAAAAGATTTGAAAAATACTTTCTTGGTTTTGCAAACAATCTAGCAAGGGGAATCGCCTTTTTTACACACACCCCGAATCCTCTCATTCATTCAACAATTGCTACCGTGTATATTTATCTTCACTATCTTCCTACCTAGAAAACAAATCTTTTCCCCATTAGGCCCACAGGTGTAGTGTCCAGTCGTATTATCGTCCGAGGATGAACAGTAGATGTCACACTGCGCACCAAAGTAATGCTGAGGACACGTCGCCACCAACGTCACGTCAATACTAAAAAAAAAAAAACTTGTAGTCAGCTTCTTAAGGTTGTCAAATTCCAAGTAGGTTGAGTTCCAAATTAATTGAAAACACGAAATACATATATTTAGTCTCTACTGTACCTGCAGGAAGTACAATCGTGGGCTTGAAGCGTGAGGTTAAATGGACTGACAAGCTTGTCTGTACTGACATTGGAGCAGTAATGTGTAAGGTCGTCGCTGCCGGGCGCTATGTTTATGCTGTTGTACTTCTGCTTCACAGCTATGCGTAATGTCTGTGGAAACATATTAACATACGATTTACACTCTGGAGTGACATCTACACAACAACTCATCATAAGACATAATGTCTGGGGCAACATGAACATTAACCATCATCATGGGATTTTCTGCCTAGGGCGACATGAACATGGAACATCATCATAAGATGTACTATCTGGGGCAACATCTACACAGAAAACCATCATTAGATTTATTGTCTCGGGCAACATGTACACAAACATTATCATCTGGTTTGCTGTCTTGGTAAACAATTAGATATAAAATCATCACCAGGTATATTTTCCAAGGAAACACGTAGGTACCTTTCTATATTCCTGTCTCGGAAGTGAGAAATTCATCTGTCTAAATTGGTATTGAAATAGCAGAGAGGAGGACGTAGTGGTATTTTCGCTGGGTGTACTATTGTTGAATTTTTTGAAATCATCATCGCTCACGTACTTGTATTCCTCTTCACAAACCCTAAGATATAATACATAAAGTTCATTGGTTGATAACCATATATGTTTGCAAGATGTGTTATTTTTTAACAAACTAGTACGCTCGTCCAAAAGTCTTAACTGCATTTCAAATGTAAATAACCGAGCATGTTACATGTACATGTACAATAATGATAATAAAATAATAAACAGCATTTGATAAAGCGGCCTATCTAGCTAGCATAAGCCACACTAAAGCGCTTTACAGTACATAGATAGAAATTGATACAATTAGCATATACATTAATCAGTACAATTTTGAGGAATTCGCAGGAGCTGCCTTATCACGCGCTAACTACTAGTACTATGCCACCTGGTTAATATCTCCCTATAAGTGTATGCCTGTGTGTGCTGGAGAAGTAATGTGTTATATTTGTTGTAGGACCGTGCTTCCAACGGCATCATTTATAGAGCCACCTCACTTGAATGCTACAGCACAGAGACTACAACATCATCCCCAGATCAATTTATACTCCATCTAGGTTTTTGGAGTTGTGTGGGCAGGAGAAGAGCACTTTCTCAGAATATCCCATGCGTACGAGGACTTCGGGGGTCGAACCCCGGCCGCCTGTGTGAAAGGCCGGAGTGTTCACCACTCGACCAAGTCACCCATAATGATCCGCTTTATGCAAGACATTTTTATGATGTATCTAACTGAAGCGACTTTTCTAATAAAATAGCAGTGTTGTTATATAGAAGGTACATTTAAGAAATAACATGTATCACTTGCCCTCCGTCCACTAGGATCAGAAAGATTGGTGACCTGCACATGACATTGTCTCCGCTATATCTGTAGGTATTCAGCTGAAATTTGACAGTAACACTATCCGAGACGCTCTCACTTCTCATCACCTGCAATCACAAACAACATCAGCCTAAAGCATGTGATACAGTTAAACAGTGACATTCTGTTATCAATGTAACAATTTATTTGAACAATAATGAGTTGTATAGGATAATTTTGTATTCAGGAAAAAGTAAACAGTGGTAACGTACAGTAGCAACGTGTAATACAGATACACATTGGTAACGTGTAATACAGTAACGTGTAATACGAATAAACCATGGTAACGTGTTACACAGATAAACCATGGTAACGTGTTACACAGATAAACCATGGTAACGTGTTACACAGATAAACCATGGTAACGTGTTACACAGATAAACCATGGTAACGTGTTACACAGATAAACCATGGTAACGTGTTACACAGATAAACCATGGTAACGTGTTACACAGATAAACCATGGTAACGTGTTACACAGATAAACCATGGTAACGTGTTACACAGATAAACCATGGTAACGTGTTACACAGATAAACAGTTGTTACGTGTAGTACACATCAACTGATGTAACATGTAGTACAGATAAACTATGGTAATGTGTAATACAGGAAAACAGTGATAACGTGTCATAAAGGTAAAAGTTGTAAAGTGTAATACAGGTATAGCTTGTTAGCGTGTAATATATAAACAAGTAAATAGAAGATAATGTATTGCAGACTTGTAATGGTACATGTCGCACGTTTTGTATTTTAACAGTAATAATATATAATAATTGTAAATAATTATTGTTTAATAAAGGAAAACAGGGGCTAGTACGTGCTCGCTGTAGCTCTTAAGGTGGCTCCACCCTTTCGCAATTAGTCAGTAGAATTCAATAAAGGTTTCACATAATGGTTATGTCAATATGCAGAGATGACTTTTTGAAAATCTAAGCATTCCGATAATCTGGGGATTTGTTTGTAAAAAAAAAAAATGAATTTTTATCAAATTCAACACTTACACATTTTTTGAGTGTGTGGCATTGTTCAAAACTATTACAACAATAAATAATGAAAAGAAACATTGCTATTCAACCCTACAAATATTTTATTTATCATAAAATATCTGCAACATTTTACAACAAGCGTTTTTTATTGAAATTCTATGGATAAAAGTTGCTAAATACAAGCTTAAAGAAAACAGGAAACATAGTGTCATACGAAAAGAGTGAAAAATTGAACCAAATACACACAGTCTTTATAATTCATTTATTTTACATTTTACAATAACTTTTATCCTGATGAGAGTTGTCTACCTTGAAAAAATTTGGAACGTTTTGCAGAGGGATAGAATTTATACAATGACATTTATTTTCTTTACTATACCAAAAACGACGGAAATAAATTAAATTACTATATTTAATTGTCAATTTACTGTTCTTTTGTGTAACAAAATTACTCTCAATCATGTACACTTTGGACATTATTCCATTGCCCGCTTACGCATGGTATATTTACACGTCCGGTACATATGTAACCATAGGCTATCGCATGGTATGCCGTGTAACGGGTTGCGTTAACTGTCTCTACTGGGGACTCGCTTGGCAGAATATTGAGGATAACAACACACAACCGTTCCTTTTCGTGATCTTCACTTTTATTTCCTTCCAAAACTAAAGAGTTCCCTTCAAGGGAGAACATGCCTTATGTTACAATTGCCAAATGATATAATCCTAATTGGAGTTACTTCCCTTACACCAAAAACATACAAATGTAACTATAGTACTTATATAATATTAATTAATCACACAATTGGATGGTTCACAATAATATATGCTATATATATAACAGCCGTTATCACGTGCACGCACATGCACTTGCATTTATAAGGATCTTGATATTTTACAAACCGCTATTTTCACAGAGTTATTGTAATTGCACTTATGAAACGATTTATCTGACAGAGCGTAACTCGCTCGACAATAAAAAAGTCGAAGCCTACGACCAAGAGCTTGTGAACTACTGTTAGCACGTGATACGTACAGGTGAGGTCGGTAAACAAAACACTTCAGTCTGCATTCCATGCGCCTCATGTACGACCTTCTTGAAGTCGTCTGATCGTATGTCAGTGTCTTCCAGTGAGTTAATTAATGTCTTTGTATCATAAGCTTTATTTTAGAAGTACGTGTGATTACATATTTCCAAGTTAAGTCTCGATATCAGGTGTTCACATATCATCGCCACGATAATATTGTTTACCCGGTGTTACTATACTTTACATTACGGTAATGGAATGCCCGATACGTAATACGGAAATGACGACACGAAAATACGACAAGAAAAACATGTGTCTTACGAATGATGGGAAGTCCTGAAACCAGTTATTATTCAGACACAAATAGTCACCAATATAATGATGTCGTTATACAATATCACTAACCCTCTAGAGAATAATAGAGTGTCAGTGAGATGGATATGATCTAAACTACGCCCTGTAGATAATACCTCCCTTTATTAGACAACAAAAATGTTGTTAATTAACCTATAACGCAGATATAATATGTACTGACAGTATTAATAAACATGATATTGATATTGCTAATATAAAACTATCACAGCGATAATTTGTAATGATTACGGAGATATTTTACAGTAGGCAATGACAGCATGTCTCAACCAACATAGAAATAGTTAATACCACATGTCAGCAACAACGTGGAAATAGCTTGAACAACAGTTACACTTCTTTACATAAATAGCTTATACAAATGTACAAAACTGATACACAAACACAGAGTATAGATAATACCTCAAAACTTACTCTCAAAGAAATGGTTAACACCAAATACACTTACCGACACAGAACAGACACTACCAAACACTTACCCTCACAGGAATAATTCATACCAAACACTTACCCTCACAGGAATAATTCATACCAAACACTTACCCTCACAGGAATAATTTATACCAAACACACTTACGCACACAGAACAGATAATACCAAACACTTACCCTCACAGGAATAATTTATACCAAACACTTACCCTCACAGGAATAATTTATACCAAACACATTTACCGACACAGAACAGACACTACCAAACACTTACACTCATAGGAATAATTCATACCAAACACTTACCCTCACAGGAATAATTCATACCAAACACTTACCCTCACAGGAATAATTTATACCAAAAACTTACCCTCACAGGAATAATTTATACCAAACACTTACCCTCACATGAATAATTTATACCAAACACTTACCCTCACAGGAATAATTTATACCAAAAACTTACCCTCACAGGAATAATTTATACCAAACAAACTTACGCACACAGAACAGACACTACCAAACACTTACCCACACAGGAATAATTTATACCAAACACACTTACGCACACAGAACAGACCCTACCAAACACTTACCCTCACAGGAATGATTTATACCAAACACACTTACGCACACAGAACAGACACTCCCAAACACTTCCCCTCACAGGAATAATTTATACCAAACACACTTACGCACACAGAATTATTATATAGCAAACACACTTACCGTCACAATAACTAGTGAATACCAAACACACTTACCCTAATAGAGAACACCAAACACCCTCACCCTCACAGAAAAAGTTTATTTCCAAACACACTTACCGTCACAGAACAATTTAATACCAAACACACTTACTCTCACAGAACAAGATAATACCAAACACACTTACTCTCACAGAACAAGATAATACCAAACACACTTACCCTCACAGAACAAGATAATACCAAACACACTTACTCTCACAGAACAAGATAATACCAAACACACTTACTCTCACAGAACAAGATAATACCAAACACACTTACTCTCTCAGAACAAGACAATACCAAACACACTTACCCTCACGGAACAAGATAATACCAAACACATTTACCCACACAGAACAAGATAATACCAAACTCACACATCGACATAGTCTTGTATTGCAAAGTACGTAGAATTGCCATGCACTAAGATCTACGATTGAAATGTCTTATGCAATTATGCTTTATTCTGTCGAAATTTAGAAGTTTAGGAAATTCAACATTTTCTTAAATACACTTGCAGATTTGTTAAAGAAATGAATTTGAGTATGCAGAAAACCAATGAATCTGGATATAACAACAACAGGTTTATTGTTCAAAAGTATGTAGACTAATAAATTGTAAGTTAAGAGCCTCTAATATGCTCCTACACTCTGCGACTTTGATATGGTATACCGCGTGTAGCTAGAATAATTACTATGAACACCAACCGTACCTCAAATAAGGAAGAAAAACATTTGCCTATTACTACTGGTGAGTTCCTAGTACTATAAAAACAATGGCTGGTTCTTATCATGTCATGTTAGGCTTCTCTCTAGAGTAAACAGATTTCAATATGGAGAAAGTAAACACAATTAAACCATTAAAGCAGATCCTTTTGATGTAATTTTTGAATTTTTACCCTAAATCAATCATTGCTGATCTTTAGAAATTGTATTTATACTATGCATGTACCACATTGAGTCTATTCTGATCAGGTTATGAGTTGAGCACGAGAATTCTTTTATCATATACATGTATCACCTCATACAAACGTGTAATATTATTTTGTGAATGATTCATAATCCTATTTATTATTCTGATTAGCCCCACAAATAAGCTACAATACAATCCGAAACAATCCTTTTCCTCACAAATAAGGTACATATACCACCAGAAACATTCATTAACCCAACAAATAAGGTACATATATCATCAGAAACATTCATTAACCTCGGTAAATAAGGTACATATACAATCAGAAACATATAAATCAGAAACATGCATTAACCTCAGTAAATAAGGAAAATATACAATCAGAAACAGATTTTTTACCAATAATCAATCATTGTTGATCTTTAGAAATGATAATAATACTATGCCTGTACCACATTGAGTCTCAATCTTTTTTCTGGTTTGTTTTCTATTTTAATCAGGTTATGAGGTGAGCACAAGTATTTGTTATCATATATCACCTCATACAAACGTGCAATATTATTTTGTGAATGATTCATAATCCTATTTATTATTCTGATTAGCAGACAAATTTTCATTTCCAAAACAAATTAACGTGCTATCGGTTCAATAGAAGAAATAGCCATGTTTTTATTCTTGCCTTTTCCTGCTTTTCAGACTTTGGTTTAATGATTAAAAGAATCAAAAGGAGGTATTACACATACATCAATGGGGGAACCTACTTATGTACCTTAAATGTAGAACTATCTACTTCACCAATGCACTTATTGTAGAGGGGACACACTACTGGTTTCATACATCTAGTCTACAGCGTGGCATTTGTAGTGATATGGGTCAAAGCAATCACGACCAAGATTATTCCCTTCAAAGTAGACGTTCTTGTGTTTCCACTGATCCTATACATGTATTTTGAAATCGCCGTGCATCACTCATATCCGATAAACCCGATGTTTAAATTCCAGATCATTAGGCCTGGAAATCGAAATAAAAAAAGTGATTTGTTTTAATAAGTACAGAAAACTGTTTGTATAAAGGTAGGCTAGAGAAGCGTTATACACTAAGATTTTTGTTTAATTTATTTTCAGAAGTCTGTTTTCGATAAAAAGGCGGAAATTACCTCCATTAAAACCACAGGTGTAATACATTCTGGATTAGGTATATTACGGATGTTTGAAAAGTTTATTTATTTGTTGTTAACGTTATAACTATAATATTTACTTTATCTCACATAGTCCAGTCCACTTCGTTTGATACTGCATGTAGAACATCAATGGATACGAAATTTAGTACCATGAACATTTTTCAATATAGGGAACATCAGGCACAACTAATGCCAAAACACTAATCATCCATAAGCTGTTTTGCAATGTTATCATGGACTAACACGCCACAATCCGATCTAGTACATCATGTATCCAAACAATACCTCTGATATATATTACATCAAAACATGTTTAACATGATTGTTGATATTGAGAGGTACTGTTTTCCCGAGTTATTGGATTTATTATTCGTTTATCGGGATATCTGCGGTTTGCAGATACTGTACTTGCAAATCGTGTTTCAATATGGGGTTGATTTCTTCGACTCATTCCCAGCACTAAATGTTAGTCTTAATAACGACATCGGTATCGACTTGTTTATGATATGAAAATAAAACTGACAGTACATGATATATTTGTATAGCTTTCCATTTTTCAGATTAGAAAATGTGATTCACACATGTACAATATTGCTCTTAAGGTTATAGAATGTGCCAAAAATATATAAATGCCATCTAAAGGCTTTTTCTGACACCTTAGTGATATTTTTGTCTTCAATTTTATTTGTGCAAATACATAGAACCAAAGTACAAATTTAATCGTCTTATTACGTCATGTTTCAAATTGTCGCCTTAAAACTTAAATATAAGGATGGCACGAGATACAAAATATAAGGGTGGCACGAGATACAAAATATAAGGGTGGCACGAGATACAAAATAAAAGGGCGGCACGAGATACAAAATATAAGGGTGGCACGAGATACAAAATATAAGGGTGGCACGAGATACAAAATAAAAGGGTGGCACGAGATACAAAATATAAGGGTGGCACGAGATACAAAATACAAGAGATTTTACTTAACGTCGCATATTTAAAACAATAAACAGAGACGCTACAATGTTGTTAGACAGAATAGATTGTGTACTCGCTGTGCTTCTGGTGGTATAGAAGATGAATTTCACTTCATCTTAAAATGTCCATTTTATCAAGACCTGAGATGTAAATATATCAAGCGATTCTATCATAGAATCCTAATGTTTTTTTCTGTTAACGAAATTATTGAGTACTAATTATAATAATGTAAAAGAATTGTGTAATCTCGGAAATATTTATATTGTGCTACGAGAAAACGTACAGAATTCAATGTCTGATATGGACAACTGTACTATGTAAGCTCACACTTAACTAATTTGTATACATAATCTCTTGTACATGTACAATGTACTACATGATGCAACTGTTTGATATTTAATCTATTAGCCGGGAATCCGATGCCTCTCGGAAATTAAGAAATTGAACTGAATTAAACATAATAACATTGCTGTTGTATTTGTTGTTGTATATCAAATTGTATGTTTTGCATGGAAATAAAACTTTCGAAATACAATAATTTGCTGAGACAGTCCCTGCTACTGAAGTTTCGGGGTAATATGAAGACACGAACGCCCACACCGTGTTAGTCCTACTCATGAATATTGTAAAAAAAAATGGGTGTGGACGTAGCTGGCCTCGTTAGAAACTATATTGCTGGTAATGACAAATAACTTATAAGATACCTTTCCAATCGAAAGATTCTCTTTCTTTTGTTTTGGTAAGCCCCCAAAAAATAACTTACCTGGGCTAGCATTAGAATGGACAATATATAAAGCCACGCCATATTGCTGATCCTTTATCTTACTTCCTTCAGCACAAACAGCGCTTTTACTGATAACAGTCTACACGCCACCTATACATCTGCGTTATCGGACAAGTTAGAAACAGTTTTTTATTGTGTTTTATTTTATCTGTGTGGTTGGGTTTATCCATGTATAATAATAAACGGAGTCTCAATGCATGTATTGGTCGGGAGTACCCAGTTAATATTGGTCAGGACGGGTGGAGTTAGCAATATTCGCTGAAATTAGTGGACAGGTACAGACTATTGACTGGGATTGGTGAGGAAATATATAAACTTGTATAAGATTGGTGGAAAAGTATTAAAAATTGACTGACAGGGAAGGAGCAGAATAGATTACTGACAGAACTTGGTGGGAAAAAAAGAATAGTTTCCGAGATTAGTGGAAAAGTAAAATATATTGGCTGATAAGGGTGGTTTGGTTTTGGTTTTATAAGATCATCTAATGACGTGCCTCATGTGTGTAATGTTTGAGTGTATGTGTGTACGCTGAGATATGGGTGACAGAATATTGACCAAGATTGGAGTAAATAATTGGTCCAGATAGAAATGAGGATCGTTACATAAACTTGGTGTTTATCTTATTTAATTACTAACCAAATTTCGTCATAGAAAACTCATTAATACTAAATCCAATCACAAAATAAAATCCATATATAGGTATTACATTAGTTTTTGAGTAGATATAAATGTTACACATGTGAAAGTTCCTAACTTGGAAAGAAACAAACATTCTTTCATAGATGATCGCCTCACTACCATTCTATGAAGAGTGTGTTTCCACGATCATTAATTGTATCATGCCTTTCCTCAGTAGCCACATACCAGGCTTGTTTGCTGACTAAATTGTTTTAGTATCCCTCGCTTTCACCGAAACGGGGGGTACTAATTTGGGTTTGTCTGTCTGTCTGTCTGTCTGTCACACTTCGTTTCCGGGCAATAACTGCAACAAATGTTAACCGATTTTTTTCCAACTTAGTAACAGGGTTTAACGCATTAAGGGCTCGGCCAAGTTTGAAAACCACTTTAATCGGACTTGATTAACGAAAAACGTCATATCTGCAGTTTCCGCTTAATAACTCTAGCAAATATTAGCCAACTTCCTTCAAACTTGATAACAATGTTTGTGTTCCTTTGTCTTTCCACCCATCTTGGGCACTCTTTGGTTTTCGTGTGATAATTGCTGTAGATATTGTGCAGATATTTCAACCAAATTCCGTATGCACAATCCGACTCATGCTAAGTTTGCCAACCGATAAGATTTGTGCATATTTACGGATAATTAATGAGGCTAGTAAATTCTGATGGATTAAACGATTAATTTACACCGTAATTCCTACATATTCAATAAAAAGTATAACTTCTGTATAAGGCTTTTCTTTTCTTCGAGTTTCAAGCTTTACTGTCATACATTATGTCTCAACAGCACGATACTCACATGTTTTAACCTAACCTCAATAATGTTTACCTGCAATATGTCCTCCAAGCGGGGGATACAAATTCCACGAATTTGCTTGTTACTCCAAAGTCTGGTCTATACACCATGGATATGTTGGTACAAACATTTCGTACCTCCTGGGGATCCATTATTTACAAAATCGTTTTTGTTTCTGTCGGATAGGCTTCAATTGACTTAAACAAATAATGAAGTCAGCAGTCTCCACTCGTATAGTGCTACGTTTTAAATAGAAGCTTTCTACTGGCCATTCTCTGATTTTAGATCATCGTTGTGCGGGTTTTTTTTTTATTTTTCAATTAAAATCAATAAGTTTGGGGGGTTTTCCTAAAAGAAAACTGTAAGACGGCTACCACCAGTAAACATTGAGGAAGTGGAATATTTTATTTAATTTATGCAATCGAATAGAGATTAAAAATTCTTTCACGTGGGCTTTAAATTGTGGTCAAATTCTGATCAGAGCAACTGATTTCTCTATCCACCTTCATTACGTATGCTGTGATAATCTGTGACGTCATATATAGAGTCTTAAACTCCCCAACCATCCTGGCCGACCTTGTTAGGAGTTCGTGCACGATGTGACAAACATATGCTTGCATTATTATGTTTCATTTTCGTGTTTCACACACTGTGTGTATACTTTATAGTATCTTAATAGTTTCGTATGAAAATAATGAAATTAGTCGAGAGGGGGGAAAAAAGAACTCGGATATTAAAAAAATCCCATCAATTGTATGTTTTTTGTGTGTAAAAGATTTTCTTTATACCCCTGTTATCCCCCTCTTGAGATACATGTTCATGACATAAAAGAGTAATACCCCACCTAAACGCGGATGTCAGGAAGTGAGAACCAACAGGTACCCCGTAATGATCCCCATAGGTGATAACATTATAGTGGGGACGATATAACATCTCCACGTTATGTCAAAACTTGTCTTTTATGAAGTGATTAAATGTATCAATAGTTGTGTATCTACAGGTATTACATCAATATACACGATGTATCATTGCGTGTTTACATTCCTAAGTAAACTCGCACATGCTTTCTCGCCGTAGTAACCACTCAACGTTTAATCTTCTGGTGAAAAACCCCACCTTAACATGAAATTAACTTCAGTCCTACAAATGTGTATTCTTAATCCATGATAAAATAAAGAAAAACCTTTCAACATTTTCAACAAAATTTAATAAACGTACAGAGTATAGTGTGGTGATATTTAGTGTTCATGTAATTAGTGCGGTGATATTTAGTGTTCATGTGATTAGTGTGGTGATATATATTGTTCATGTAATCAATGAACTGATATTTAGAGTTCATGTAATTAGTGCGGTGATATTTAGTGTTCATGTGATTAGTATGGTGATATATAGTGTTCATGTTATCAGTGTGGTGATATTTAGTGTTCATGTAATCAATGCACTGATATTTAGAGTTCATGTAATTAGTGCGGTGATATTTAGTGTTCATGTGATTAGTGTGGTGATATATAGTGTTCATGTGATTAGTGTGGTGATATTTAGTGTTCATGTGATTAGTGTGGTATTTATAGTGTTCATGTGATTAGTGCGGGGATAGTTGGTAATCAATGCACTGATATTTAGTGTTCATGTGATTAGTGTGGTGATATTTAGTGTTCATGTGATAAGTGCGGTGATATTTAGTGTTCATGTGATTAGTGCGGGGATAGTTGGTGTGCATGTAATCAATGCAGTGATATTCAGTTTTCATGTGATTAGTGTGGTGATACTTGGTGTTCATGTAATCAATGTGGTGATATTTTTAGTGTTCATGTGATCAGTGCGGTTATACAATGTATATAGTGTTCATGTGATTAGTGCGGTGAAAGTTAGTATTCATGTGATTAGTGTGGTGATATTTAGTGTTCATGTAATTTGTGTGGTGATATTTAGTGTTCATGTAATTGATGTGGTGATATCTAGTGTTCATTTGATTAGTGTGATGATACTTGGTGTGCATGTAATCAATGCACTGATATTTAGTGTTCATGTGATTAGTGCGGTGATATTTAGTGTTCATGTGATTAGTGTGGTGATATTTAGTGTTTATGTGATGAGTGTGGTGATATTTAGTGTTCCTGTGATTAATGCAGTGATATTTAGCTGTCATGTGATCAGTGCAGTGGCATTATTTAACGGTCACGTGATACAAGTTCTGAAAATCAGCTGTCATGTGATCCGAATGGTGATATTTAGCGGTCATGTGATCCGAGGTCTGAAATTTAGCGGTCATGTGATCCGAATGTGTGATATTTACTGTTCATGTTATCAGTGCAGTGGTATTTAGCGGTCATGTGATCCGAATAGTGATATTTAGTGTTCAATTGATCAGTGCGGTGCAATTATTTAGCGGTCACGTGATTGGTGTGGTGATATTAAGTGTCCATGTGATCAGTGCAGTGATATTCAGCGGTCATGTAATCAGTGCAGTGGCATTATTAAGCGGTCATGTGATTAGTGTGGTGATATTAAGTGTCCATGTGATCAGTGCAGTGATATTTAGCGGCCATGTGATACGAGTTCTGAAATTTAGTGTCCATGTCATCAGTGCGGTATATTCGTCTGCTGGTTAACCGAACTACTCGGTAGTGAAGCGGACGTAAACCAATCAATCAACCAATCAGTGTAGTGACAATTTGCATTGATAAGATGCATGCGGTGATATTTAGTAGTAACGTGATGAGTGCTGTGATGTTTCTCGAGATTTTATCTATTGTACGTGCGTGGTATAAAGAATTATATAGATGATAATTAGTTTTCGTGTGATCCGTGTGGTGATATTTAGTTTTCGTGTGATCAATGCGGGGATATTTAGTGTTTTGGGTATCCGTGTTGGGATATTAAGTGATTTGGGGATTCGCATCTTGCTTTTTAGTGTTTTTGTGATTCGCGTTGTGATATATAGTGTTCGTGTGATTCGCGTCGTGATATATAGTGTTCATGTGATTCGCGTCGTGATATATAGTGTTCATGTGATTCGCGTCGTGATATTTAGTGTTCGTGTAATTCGCGTCGTGATATATAGTGTTCGTGTGATTCGCGTCGTGATATTTAGTGTTCGTGTGATTCGCGTCATGATATATAGTGTTCGTGTGATTCGCGTCGTGATATTTAGGTTTTTTGTTATTCCGGTTGTAATATTACGTGTTTTTGTGATTCGCGTCGTGATATTCAATGGCGGTGTTAACATAATTTAACCGTGTAAGGACCAATGAGTTTAGAGGTCCAAATGGCCTTGGGTAGGTATGGTGGTGTGGATAGTCCTGACAAACACGTGATATGTTTAGATTACATATCAATGTTGCCATTGTTGTTTATCCTTTTTTCCTTTTTTCCTTTAGTGAACCATCAATGATGCTTTTCAAAAACATTTATATCAGCGAATCTTTCTAGTGCATATACTTTTTTACTTTGCAACCTTTTAATAATTCTCATGATCTGTCGAGCGATTAGTGAAGTGGACTTTGATTATCGACACTAACAATTCCACGAATAAACTCTACCTGGTATTTCATCTAACTACGTTATCTGATAGCGTTCCTCGAGTGTCACTTCCAACATCGTATCACGTCTCGCGCTGACTT